AAACACAAAACCAACCAAACCCAAGTCAGACAACACAAACATCAAAGCAACGACCAAGGCCAAAAGACCCAGATCGTCGAAGCATCGGAAAAACGAAAGGTTTTTTACGAAAAGGTAAAAAGGCCGAAGCTTTTTTTACCAGATCTACGCCGAGGGGACCCGATTTTGGGTGATTGGGGCTCGGATTTGTGTTTAGAATGGTTAGAGAGTGTTTGGTGAGGATTTGGGTTGGCCCGGCCGCCGGAGCGACTGAGAGCGGCGGCCAGAGCGACTGAGAGCGGCGGCCGGGGCTACACCGGTGGGGTAGGGTAGAGAACGCAGAGAGAATCTCTGTTCTCTCATTTGAAGAGAGAGGGAGCCCAGGAGCAAATGAGAGGGTTTGACGTTATTTTACTCTCTCATGGGCCTTTTATACTGCTGATGAAACGACGTAGTTTCAGTTGGGGGGCATTTATGTATTTTTCTCACGGGTAAACTCGGTCCTCGGCCATCAGGTTCTGTCATATTTGTAATTTGGTCACTAAATTTTATTTTTCGGTATTTTAATTTGGAATTTTAATTGTTATGCTTATATTTTAGTCCCTAAGTTATATATTTCCGAATCTGGCCCAAGGTTTTATGCAAATTTTATTTTGGTCACTAATTAACATCATTTTTTTATTATTATTTTTGACCCTTTTTTTTATTTATTCAATTTTGATTTTTTTTATTTTATTATTCTATTGTTTTGTTATTTATTTATTTAATGTTTAATTATTATTTTATCATCTAACATTTTTCGACATTTTCAGTGGTAATTTTCAACCGATCAAAGGTAAGCAATTCGAATCGAGTAATTTAAATTTTAATTTTAATTTTTAATTCTTCGCAATCAAGACAATCGGTAAATTAATTGGTACCGAAAGGATGGTTCAAGGGTGCTAATCCTTCCTTGACCGTAACCGACTCCCGAACCCGATTCACTTCTGGTAAAACGCAGATCAGGTAAGATGGTATCCGACCTACCTAAATCCGTTTTAAAATGGTCGGTGGCGACTCCAATTCGTTTAATCCAAGTCGAAGCCCAATTCAGGGGCCCAAACCGAAAGGCGGTTCCGACATATATAGTTTTTAAAAACACTTTGGAAATGTATATAATATATAGTCTTTAAAATATTTTTGAAAACTATATAGTATATAGTTTTTAAAACATTTTAGAAAATATATATAATATATAGTTTTTAAAATCATTTTGAAAACTTATATAATATATAGTTTTGAAAACATTTATATATTATATAGTTTTTTTAAAAAAAAATTGAAAATATATATAATATATAGTTTTTAAAATATTTTTGAAAACATTTATGTTATATAGTTTTTAAAATGTTTTTGAAAATATGTATAATATATAGTTTTTAAAATTTGGAAATTTATATATTACATATTTTTGAAAATATTTATATTGATATATAATATGGTATTATTATTATTTTTCTTATCATTTATTTTTCGTATTATTATTTATGCTTTTTGCAAGGTCCAAGTCATTGATATGTTTTGGGTCCAATACAGTCACAGTTCGATCCAGAATAGGGCTTGAACCAACCCAACAGGGAAACTAGGGTTCCCTTTCATCTCAGTCAAGTGCCGCAAGTCAGGAAACCAGAACCACACGGAATCATCGGTACTACGAACGGTCAAGGGGCGAAACGGTCGGCCTGAAATCCCGGGACTGGCCCATCCCGGGATGACCGTCCCACAACATCAACTACGGGTCTCGTATTTCAGAACAGACGAACGGCTGGTGGTGGGTATAAATACCCCCACCAAGCCACTGCGGGGGAACATCTACATCGAACAAGAACGTCCAATACAAAACAAAACATCAACAAAAAGCCAACCACAAAAACATCGAACCACCACAGTAGTGGTCAGAAGCAAAAGTACATCGAAACCACAAAAAACCGAGTCACAAAAACAATAAAACCGTGAATCATCGCAACCCATCAACACCAAAACACCGAACCAGAAAATCCCAAATTACCAACAAAGAAAAGCCGAAACATTTCCTAAAAAAGTAGAAAAAAACGCAACCTTTTGATTCAGATCTACGTCGGTGGGGACGTCCTTTTGGGTGTTTGGGCTTCGGATTCGTGTTTACGGTGATAAAAGGAAGCTTTGGGGGCATTTCTGCGACGGTCGACAGCGGTGGTCGTCGGCGACTGGCGGTGGTCGATCTCCCCGTTCGGTGAGGGGCTAGAGAGAAGTCAGAGAGAAATATCTCTCTCTCCCTCTTAGAGAGATAAGGAAAATGTAACAATGAGGACTTTCGGGTGAGTATGGCCTTGGTACGGGCCTTATATAACCCCCATGAAACGACGTAGTTTCGATGGGGGGTGCCTCGTAATTTTGCTTTGGGGGTAATGCTATTCCGAGTCCTTCCTCCTCTGTGAGTTTATCTTTTGGCCATTTAATAAAGTTTTACTTATTGTATCCTGGACATTAATGTTTCAAACCTCACGTTTTAGTCCTAATTATTATGTTTTCGTTATTGTGTTAATATTACAATTGGATCCTCCAAGTTTATTTTTTATTTATTTACTTATCTTCTCTTTTATATCGTTCTTGTTTTATTTAACATTTTTATTTTGATATTTTATTATTGTTTCTTTTATCCTTTTATTTATTTATTTATTATCATATTTTCTTTTGATCTATTATTATTTTTTCATTTTTTTGTTATTTTGTTATTTTGATACTTTTATTTTTTTAATTTATGTATGTCTTTATTTTTCTCTCTTATTTATTATTTTAGTTTTTTTATTTTTTCTTCTTGCTTTTATTTTTATTTTTCCTAACTTTTTCGACTTTTCTTTTAGAAGAACTCCAACCAATCAAAGGTAAGCAATTAGAATCGAGTTTTAAATTTTAATTTTAATTTTTAATTTTCGCAATTAAAGACAATCAACAAATTAATTGGTACCGAAAGGGCGGTTCAAGGGTGCTAATCCTTCCTTGACTGTAACCGACTCCCGAACCCGATACATTTATGGTACGACGCAGATCAGGTAAGATGGTGTCCGACCCACCTAAATTCATTTTAAAATGGTCGGTGGCGACTCCTAACTCAATTCATTCAAGTCGAAGCCTAATTTGGGGCCTACCCGAAAGACGGTCGCGACAACTTCAACCATAATTTAACCTAAATTTAGTTTTTTTGAAACATATAATAATATAACTTGGTTTAACGATTTTATTAACGACGGATGTGATTAGTACATGCTTATAGTTTAACCATAGCGTTTTAGTCCCTCTATTTGAAACCCTGTTTTATGCCGTTGGATGGGTGTTAAAGCAGCACTCTCGGTAGGGGCCATGACAGACTGGGATTCATGGAAGTGGCGCGCCAAGGAAGTGCTACGAGCGAGGATAGAGTCAAGAGAGCGAGTGATGTTGTTGAAGTCCAATGCATTTCGACTCTTCCAAATGTTCCAAGCAAGGGAAGAGAATAAGTAGCTCCAAGGGGTCAACAATGTGGTGCTTGTTGACATGCTTCCATCTCCAGCCTGCAAGATCAAGGGAAAACAAATTATTCACTTCAGATGGAGGAACCAATATCAACCAAATGAATCTGGCCGTGGGACAATCACGCAGGGAATGAAGAGTCGTCTCATTGTGAGCGGCACAGTTATGGCGGTTGGGGTCGTTGGTGAAGGCACATTTGGAGCGTTCATCATTTGTCATGAGTCTATTAGGGAAGCTGGCCCAGAGAGGAGAGAAAAAGCAGATGCGCTGCGGTACATGGAGTTGCCTGATGGATTTCTAGATAGTGTTTTTACAGTTCCAGAAGGGGTTCATGATGACACTTCAAGCCGAGTCAATGCTAGAATGGATTAATTTTTATCAATATGAAAGCCACTTTTTGTCTACCTATTTTTTTCATTTTCATTTTTATCTCATCATCTTTCTAATAAAACTTCGTTTAATATTTCATCTTCATGTCACATTTTCTTCAAAAAGAAATATTGTTTTTAGTGTCTTTTCTATTTATTCTAAATATCAATGAAGTTGTTTCATCGTTTCTTGTCACTCTATCAATTTGGATTCTTTTATATCTTTTTAAAACTTATGAAATTTAATTCGATGTTTAGTAAAAACAAAATTATGATATACAATCGCCACCATTCAATTAATATAAAATTAGGTTATACTACTCATCTTCTTATTCTCTACCTTCTTACCAGAATGATTCGAAAGATATTTCAACATAAAAAAAAATTAATATTTTCACAAAATGATTTTTTGGAATATTCACAAATAAAAAAATATGTCATGCATTATCGATATCAAATAATTAATAATGAATTGATCAAATCAAAGGTTTAGAATGAAATTGATTTTTTTTTAAAATTAAGTGATTAAAAGTATCTGTTTTTAATTAATTTTTAGATACAATGTTTAAACTTCACAATTTTTTCACTTATAAAGTCAACGAGTGTTGGTACAAGTGGTTGGGATTCAATAATTTGAGCTTGTAAGGTCAAGTTCAAATCCTACTATCGTTATTCTTATGAGTAATCTGTAAACTTTTATGTAAATCTTAAGTATACGCTAACCTTGGACTGAGGAAACCACCACTGACCTAAACTTTTATAATAAAAAAAACAATTTTCAAGTTTAGTTACGTATGAATATAGTCCATTTTTATTTATTTATTTATTGTTAAAAATATAATAGTGATTGAAAATTAATCACTAGAAGGCATGTGTATTGAAGTAGGCCCAGAATTGGATCCATATTTGATTAAACCCAATGAGCAGAGTCCAAATATCGACTGTTTTAGACTCAGTTCCAAAATATAACACAAAAGATAGAGTAGTCAACGGCTCTGATTAATACCAAACATGCACCGTCCCGCGGACAATCCCAGCACTCATAACTGAAATTTCCCGCCCATCACATCCGTTACTTAACAAATTGAACTATCCCTCACAGCTTATTTACCCAAACGGAGAAAAATGGTTTCCTTTCTCTTCTTTTCTCTCCTCTTTTCCTTCCTCCACTTCACTTCGTCCCACCCTTCCATCGGAATCACCTACTCCGCCCCTTCCACCACCAACTCAACCGCCGTTCCTCCTCCACCGGACAAGATTGCATCCATCATCTCCGCCCTCAAGATCACCAGCGTCCGACTCCCAGACCCAGGGCCGTCTCTCATTGAAGCTTTTTCATCCACCAACACTTCCCTTTTCCTCTCCATCTCGAACCCTCTCATCCCTACTCTCGCCTCCAACCGCTCCGTCGCACTCGGCTGGCTCCGTCTCCATGTCCTCCCTTTCTACCCTCGTTCCAAAATCACCCTCATCTCCGTCGGCAACACAGTTCTCAATTCCACACACGTAGAAGACTTCTCCCCTTTCATTCTTCCGGCGATGAGGAACCTCCACCGGGGACTTCGCGATAACGGCATCGGTAAAATCCGAATCTCCACCACTTTCGCTTTCTTCTCCACGATCACCACCGCTTTCCCGCCTTCCTCCGCCGTGTTCAAACAATCAGCCGGAGACCTCATCATAAAACCTATACTCCAGTTCCTGGAACAAACGAATTCCTCCTTTCTTATCAACCTCTATCCCTACAATCTTTTTCACCTCAACACCGAAATCCCAATCGGATTTGCTTTATTCCAAGACAACCCTTTCAACTTCCGAGACGATTTCGTCTCTGGGATCAGGTATTTCAACCTGTTCCCGATGATGGCGAACGCAGTGTTAACAGCCATGAAAGCGATGGGGTACGAGAACATCCCGCTGGTCGTGGCGGAAACAGGGTGGCCGAGCAGCGGAAGTGAGGCTGAGGCAAATGGGGTTTACGCAGAGATGTACTTAAAGGGATTGTTTAGGCATTTGAAGTCGGGAGCTGCGACGCCATTGAAGAAAAATGGATTGGCGGAGGTTTATGTTTATGAGTTAATGGATCATCATGGTGGGAGAAATGAAAGAGGAGGCGAATGGGGTATATTATCAGAAAATATGAAAATGAAATACGATGTGGAGTTCTCAGGTGGAGCTAAGAATTGTGGGTTGGTGGCCATTTGGTTTTCAATTTGTCTGGTTATCGCTTCCATGGCATTTTGCTGATTTTTTCATAGGGATTTAGGGAGTGGCAGTTGAAGATTCTTAAGTCTGTAGCTGCTTTTGCTTGAAGATATTGCATTGTGTATCCATTTCTGGGATGATTTTAGGATGGCATGTAGCTTAAAGGGTCGAAGTTTCTCAGGGGTTTCTTTTAATAAAGTTAATGTATCGATTTACATTTCCTGCAGTGTTTTTGGGGCTAATTAAATCTGACTAATCATTCTTTCCGATAGAACTTTTGTTTGTTTTTTGTTTTTTTTTTTGCTTATTCTTATTACTATTTCTTAATTCTCGTTAATCTTTTTGGCTTGCTTTGTACGATGGGTCATTATCACTTTTCATTCTCGAACAGTGTTTTGAAAATTGGACCGGATCGACCGGTTCAACCAGAAATCGTTGTGTCTAGTCCGGTTCAATCTATACCGGTTGAACCGTTACTAGTGAACCGTTCGGAACCGTTGAACCGTTCGAACGGACCGGCTGAAAATTGGAAAAAACCGAGAAAACCCGTCAATTTTGTTTAGAAAAAAAAATTAAACCAAACGACGTCGTTTGTTAAACGAGCCAAGTCGAACTCGACTCGAACTTGAAAACTTTAAAAGTAAGATCAACTCGACTCAAACTCACGAGCTAAAAATTATCAAGTTCAACTCGAACTCGAAATATAATATTTAAACTTGAACTCGAAAATGCTTGAACTCAAAAAAAATTTAAAAGCTCGGTTGAAGCCTAAAATTCGAGTTTGATTTAAGTGAAAAAATAATTCACTCAATGCTTACCAAAAGACTCTATTATTTATAGAAGTTAGTTGGGATGCTCTTCTATGTTTCTTAGCCATGTGGGATTATTTTGTTCTCATATTTTTACTCTTTAGACTTTTGGGATGCTCTTCTATGTTTCTTAGCCATGTGAGATTGTTTTAAAAAAAAATTAAACCAAACAATATCATTTTGTTATGATTTTTTAGTTCCAAATTTATTTTTTAATTATAGTTATATAATTATATTTATTATTTAAAATGTTTTACCTTAAATATTATGTTGTATTTAATTTTAATCATTTTGTTTCACTTGAGTTTATGGTTTTTAACTTATATATGTTATGACTTGCTTTGAATATGACTTGTGATATAAATTTTTTTATTAAATATTTTTAGTATTTTTATTTAATTTTTTAAATAATTATGACGTCGTCTGGTTCTTCCGACCGATCAGACCGGTTGAACCAGTAAACCGGTAACATGGCCGGTTCGCTAACCGGTCCGATTCTAAAAACCATGTTCTCGAATGCCATGCAGATGTTAATTTGTTGGGTAATACGCCAAGGTTATGTTTTTGCCCTTTCCGTCCACTAAGATATGCTATTTGATTCATTAGGGATGTTTATGCGGCCAAGTACAACGTGCAAACGCACACTCACGTAGCGTTAATGGAATCAATGGCCAAAATTTTGGATTTGGGACTGAGGAATATTTTTATATAGAAGAAAATAATTTAAAATTTTTGATTCATTAGGGATGTTTATGCACACTCACGCGCAAAAGGTGTTACATAAAATAAAGCGTTTCAAAGGGAAGAATGGTTTAGTTGCTATAAAAATTGATTTGGAGAAGACTTATGACAGGGTCGGTTGGTATTTTTCGAGGATACTCTGAATCACTTCAGCTTTCCTCAATACTGGATTAATCTCATTCTTTTTTGCGTAAAGAGCTCAAAGCTTTTTGTTCTTTGGAATGGTGGAAAAATGGACTATTTTAGCCCTTCTCGGGGTCTTCGCCAAGGAGATCCGATCCCGCCGTATCTCTTCGTTCCTTGTATGGAGAGGATTGGGCATTTGATTATCTGTTGTTGCTAATCATTCTTGGAAACCGATCAGACTTGGGAAAAATGAGCCTCAAATCTCACACCTCTTTTTTGCGGATGATCTCTTTTTATTCAGAAGAGCCAATGAAGGCCAAACTCACATTATCAAGGGAATTCTTGATTTTTTTTTGCACTACTTCTGGGGCTAAAGTCAATTATGAGAAATCCAAATTTTATGTATCTCCATCTGCGAGGTTGAGCAGTGGTAGATACTTCGCTCAAATTCTTAAAATGTCTCCATCTCCTGATCTTGGAAAATACCTCGGCATGCCCTTGATTCATGGTCAAGTGTAAAAAGTTACGTATAATGAACTGGTTGATAAGGTTAAAGCAAGACTAAGCATCTAGAAAGCCAATACTCTATCGATTACTGGCCGAGTCACCCTTGTTAGCTCCGTAACATCCGCAATTTCGATTTATACAATGATGACGGCCAAACTCCCGGTTACTATTATTCAAGAAATTGACAAGCTTAATAGGTGATTCCTCTGGGGAGGGAAGACTGAACAATGAGTACCCCATTTAGTTGCATGGGACGAGTTTTGTAAACAGAATATTTGGAAATATTCTTCTAATGGTGTCTTTACAACTCAATTTGCATATCTTGCACTCACGACAGTGCCTCCTAATGATAAAACTCCCAATCTTATTTGGCTTTGAGTTTGCCTATTCTCCCCAAATGGAAATTCTTCATTTGGTTATCTTGGCGTGATCGTTTATTCACAAACGCTAGAAGGACCTACATTGGAATATCTAATTTTCCCGGTTGCGCTGCCTGTGGCCATCATGTGGAAAATCTGATTCACATCTTGCGGGATTGTTTTGTAGCTAAGAACTTCTGGAACCATTGCATTAAAAGATCTCAACGAGGGCAGTTCTATGCTATGGACTTGCGTGAGTGGTTGCAGGAGAACTTAGCGATGTCGAGGAATTCCCACGCTTCGCTCATCCGTTTTGCCAGTGCAATTTGGAACTTTCGGAAAGAATGTTGCCAGAGAATTTTTCAAGCTGCAGATTACGTTTATGATTAATCAAGAACCTGGCTACGGATTGCTTCGTCCATCAATGAAATGCTTCAACTGAACCACAACTACCCGAAGAACACAACGTCAACTTTGCTGGTGCATTGGTCACCACCCTCAAGCGGCTACCTAAAGCTCAATACTGATGGAGCGAGCCAATGCAATCAAGGAGTTGCAGGAGCTGATGACTTGCTTAGAGACGAAAATGGTGCATGGGTTATGGGTTTTACTGCTCACTTGGGGACTTGCACAAGCGTAGCGGCGGAACTTTTTGCCATTCGGATGGGTATTTCTCTAGCATAGAAATATGGATATTGTTGTGTTGTTTCTCAACCTTATCAACAATTGTGATAATAGCTCCTCACACCCGCTGGGGTCCCTAATTGAGGACATCAGAAGTTTTAAAGCTCGTAACTGGATATTAAAGTTTCAACATATCAATCGCGAAGGCAATTTCTGTGTCGATATACTCTCCAAACTTGGGTGCTCTCTGGAAGATGATCTTGTGATCTTCAATTCACCACCGAATGAAGTTTCTCGCGTGTTAGAAGCTAATAGTAGAGGCATGTCTTTCCCTATAGGTTTTTCTCTACAGTAGTTTAAGCTTTCCTTTTTGTGAAAAAAAAATAACGTATTTGTTTCATTACGTGACCATTAGCGTTTTTTATATATGTATTTACGATCAATATTTAATTTATTAATGGTGTAGATTGAATTAAATAAATATATAATTGTTTTACAAAGACTTACTTGTATAATCAAAATCAAAATTTATGTTTTCTATATAAGTAATATTCTTTACTTCTCATTCTTTTAGTTGTGACCCAATTTCTTCTTGGATCATGTTATGAAGTTATAGTGGTACATAGCAGTATAATCCGTTTGATACTCTAGTTCTTCTATCGTCTTTATGTTCATTAAGAAAACAAATTCAGTTAAAGTAGTATTTTTCTTATGCAAATTTCCTTTTGTTTCCTATCCTTATAAATAGAAAGTATGGAATAAGGTTTTGTGATCTTAGTTGTAATAGTTGTAGTTAATCTTGTACTTCTTCAACATTTCTTCTCCTCTAACCGTGATTTTTTCTTTTTGAGTTTTTCATGTAAATCTTGATGTTCTTTATTATTTTGTTTTCAATTGCATTCATTAGTCATTAATCATTATGATAATCACAATAGTCATAAAAGTTTTAGATAAATTGTATTCAATATAATATATTACTTTTTTGACTAAAAATAGAGCATCCAAGTGAACTAGATGTGGATTCCAACCACCTCGTGGGATAACAGCAGAGTCATCTCTGCAAGCAGTCCATCAAACAAAACTTCACCAACTAGACGTCCACGAGCCATACCTACAAGCATAATAGTCACCAAATTCGCCTACCTTCTTATAAACGTAATTCGAACCCCCCCCCCCACTTTTGTTTAAAGAGAGCTCCAATATGGCAAGCAAGGAGAATTCCTCGTGCAGCTATATTCGACGATGATAACATATGGAAGGTCTCAGTGTTATCGGATTCTACAATCACCTTATGAAAGCCCAACCTCCATGCATGTTTTAATGCCTCATGTTTTAATGCATGTTTTAAGCAATTTCAAGGACTCTTAACAAATCTAAATATCCACCTTCTTTGCTTGCATCCAGGGTCGGCCCAATACATGTGCCAGATAGGCGACGGCCTAGAGCAGCATGTAAGGGCATGGGCATTAGTTCTTTTACTATAGTTTCAAATCAAATCAGCCTCTGACATTAAAACTCATTAGTATTATTTTGAGGGAAAAAATATGTACTTTTAAGGGCAGCATGTAGGGGCATGGGCATCAGTTTATAATATAAACGTACTTAGTTTATCATTATTCGTAATTGATTCGTAATGACATTTTCTAGCTTTTAGTATCAAATCAAATTAGACTTAAATGTTTTTCTAGTTTCAAATCAAATTGGTCCATAATCATCTTTATCGATTTAAATTTGTTAAAAGTAATTATTTATTACTAAAAATATTGAATTACTATTGTAACCCCCTAGACCCGGTCTATACGTTTCGACTAAGTTTAGTGAATCACATTCATGATTCTTAAAGATATTGTTCCGAAACCATTATTCAATCATGATA